TTCTTGAGTAGCTGCAGAGTTGGTGGCTCCTCCAGAAGGCTCAGCTCCATGAGTAAGTAAGTATGAGAACCTTATGTTTCATAAAGGTTATTTCACCAAGCGTATGGTCATTGATGCCTTATATGTACAGTGGAGTTTGATGGTTGCAGGTCACTCAGCTTGTTGTTGGGGATGAAGGTGGAGGGTTGTCAGTACACAGCATATCTGACAGAGAGCAGTTAAACACATTTGATGCTCATAAACACAGAGTAAAATCTGTAAGTTTCATCAGCATCAAAGACAAACATTTTCTGGCCTCAGCTTCAAGTAGTGGTCAGATCAAACTGTGGAATTGTAAGGTAATTATCTCTCATTTCTGCTTTAAACTGTACCAGCAGATGTTTCTTTTGTCTGTTAGTAATATCTGTTGCAAGCATTGGGCTTTATAAAAGAAATCCAGTATTTGAAACTAGTGCACATTAGTACATAAGAAAAGTTGCAAGACCCACACCAAGTGTGAATAAAACGGTCACTGGCTGGGACATGGTCCTTCCAGGCTGATGAGGAGCCTTGCAAGGCCAGTATTTATAAATAATCTGCAGCAGGAAACAATAGTTGTAACTGTGTGTGAACCATTGCTTAGCCAGTTTTGCCACTGCAGTAGTGCAACACACAGCAACTAAATACTCTACGTGCAAAGAACAGAATGAGCTCATTCCTTGTATCAGGAATGCTGTACAAATCGGGTGTTCACGTGTGTTATCCGTCTTCAGTAAAGTAAAAGATAAATATTTGAACTTTTGTTTGGAGAATCAGCATAAAGCCTGCTGAAATTGTTGTGGAGTTGAGCGTCATTACTGAATTTGGAGCTTAAAATCTGTTATGAAAACAGTTTTTGTGCATGTGTAAAATTATTCTTGCATGTATAAACATACTTATTGGAAAAACTACGTAACCTCAATACTTTGAAAAGTTTTTAAAGAACAGCTGCATTTATCCTGAGATATTAAAGTTGGCAGAATAACAGTATGCAGTAAGCAGTGCTGCTGTCTAGAAGTGTGCTGTCAGTTTTATTTTGTTTTACTTTTTATTAATTACTTCATGGTGGACTCTGCAACACTGACTCAAGCATGTCACTGTGCCATTTATTGCTGCCCTCTTATACTTCTCTTTGTAACTACAACCATCTCTGACTGCTAACATTTACAGTGACAGAATTTCAAGCCTTAGCCTTTTGCATACTAGGCTTAATAGCATTTTATTGATTTTCAAATCACTGTGGTCTGTTTAACTCAAATGCATTGCAGTTAAGCATAAGTACAGTCCTTCCTAGGACAGTGGGAGACAGCACTGAATAAAAGACCATCTTGTACATACAGGATGCTGGAAAATCCAGAATTTCGTAATGTGTTGTATGAGATCGGAAGTTTTCACCATGAAGGTTATTGTCTGCTGGGGTGAAATGCTATTTAGTCTATTATATAGTTACCAACATTTTGGAGGAACAAACCTCCGTCTTCAGGGTAGAAGAATAAGCTCAATGTGAATGAAATTGGTGTGGATATAGGGAGAGGAGGCACAGGGACTAGGGCTCTGACAGTCCCATTCCAGCATTCCAGTAATCTTCAGTAATATATTGTCTGTTGCAGGGTGGGAAGTTGAGAGAGATTTGCCATACTAACAGTGACTGTCGTATCACCTGTCTGCTGATGCTGGAAGCACCACAGTCTAGACAACTTAATCAGAAACATATAAAAGAAGAATGTATGCAAACCCATTCCACTGACATTTCTGCTGGCAGTGAGACACGTGTGCGATCAAAGCGTCTGAGAAAAGATGGTGGGGATTCACATCTGGCCAGCAGAACACTTGATGATAAAGCAGTAAATAGAAATTCAGAGCTCTCTCCGACAGCTTGTTCGTTCAATGTTATATGTACTAGAGGGCAGAAGTGGTTGGTTGAAGAGCTGTAACTTCCTCTCATTGAAGTGAATAGAGTCGCTGTGTGTAACTTTGGGACAGAAATGATTGCAGGGACGACAGCCTGCTCCTCCATTTCGTGACAGTTGTCACTGAGGCCACAGACACAAGTCCCTGTCACTGAGGCCACAGACACAAGTCCCATCGATGGTGAGGATGACAGCACTTCCCCCTCTCTCACTACTGTTGATTCATGTTCAACCCCTTCTATTCCATATCAGCCTGTCCAAAACTATTGTTTTAAGCCGTTCAGTCTTATGAGTGAAGCATTGCTCTTACAGCCACAGTGTTGCCTTACTTAACAATATTTGCTAAACATGCTTGGCATTATGGCAGTTTCCCAAAAGTACACTCTGACAAAATTCTGGTCAATCAAGTCATGTGTACACTCGTACAATTGTGAAAATGCTGCAGTTACAGTTCTATATGAAGATAAATGAGGATAATAGTGTAGAAGAGAGAAAGAGCAAAGACATATAATATATATTGTTTGCACTTGGGACGGAGCTTGTGTCATTTGTCGTGTAGAGTGCAACAGGATGCTTAAATATAATATTATAAATGAGGATGTCATTGTGGCTCTGGTAATATTGAATTATTATTGTTAATGGTTCACCTTTCATTTAAACAAAGAGTTTCTGTGCTTTCCATGTAATGGTCATTGTCCTTACTCTTGTACCACTCGTCTTGATAGGGCAAATTGTCGCTAGATGGCCTGTTATCACGGAAATTTACAATTAATGGTTCACAGTTGTCCTGCATATCAGCAGCTTTGCACGTATCAGCCTCGACACCTTTCACAAGTGTGACGTGCTGCTCCCATCTGTCAACCATTACATTGTCGAACCCATACTGGATTAGTCGCTCCGAACCTTTAATTTAAAACTTGTATTGTTCATTTTTATGCTATGTGTTATTTGAGCACACATTAGTTCAGTGTTTACATCACAGTGATACAGTGGCAGACACAGAACTGTATGACCCACTTCGTTTGCCATTTATACTTAGGCCTTACACTTCTGAGCACTTGTTGACTTTTTCATTTGACAGAAGCAAAATAAATCGTTCTTTTAAAAATACAAATTAAACTTGAAGAAATCAGCAACAAAGAAACTAGCCAAGACACATGCCTAATAGCTACTTATTGGTTGGCACAATAATGCACTCCAAATCACAACATGCAAGGCATGCAACTGAGGTGTTGGCCATTCCTTCTACATACACCATCCCATTAATTTTACAATAAAAATTTAGCTTGTAAGATGAAATTTGAAATAACTTCTTAAACTGCAAGTCTCAGTTTTGTCACTGGAAACATCTACATAAGAAATGACAGCAGCGGAAGTGAAAGTCCATAAGGATGCAAGACAACACCAACATCTTTATCACTGCCAACATTCCTTTGAGTGGAATGGTAGATGACTGATGAAAATAGAGACAAGTATGCTTGGTGGTGGGGGGTAATGGTCCAAGGTAGATGTGGAAGGGTTTGGTCCATGATACTTCTTCCATGGCCCAAACATAACAGGTACAATAGTTGCCAGAGGAGAGTGCAGTGTATGGAAAGCTTTGGAGTGGAGAGTTGGAGCACCTCTAGCAGCTGAGCAGTATTGTACTTTGATATCAGTTGGAAAAGCCAGCAGTGAAAATGTTGCAAAAGGTTGAAGGTGTATGCTGAGCAGTGTTCATGTCCACATGCTGTTGCAGGAAGCTGCTCTCAGTTGCTTCCAAAAATGTTAATAACTGAAAGAAGGTGGTAGTTATGGACATCAGTCTTCTAAGGTTTCGTAGTGCCACTGGCCTTGATCTGTGACTCCTGTCCACGTGTGGTATAACAGGGCAATATCTTGTGAGTGTGAACATCATGTCAATATATTGTATTTTTAATTAACAGTGTTAACTTCCATTTTCTTTTCATCCATCTACATCATCTGCTTTGAAAGATTATTAATTTGGTATAGATGGATGAAAAGTATAAAAAGTTAATAAAAAAGACATGGCAGTATGCTGCAACTTAAACTAAATGTTAATTTCAGAAGTAATACATTTTTGTTTAGAAAATTGTCAAAAGGAGCATGTAATAACGTTTTTCTTTCACAACTCCTGTGTGGTTTGTTGTGCAATATCAAGCTTCATAAATGTGAGTATAACATAGTCACTTTTTTCTAATAGGGTGTCCATGGTAGCGTAGTATGAGGCACTGTGCTACAAGTTGGAAGGTCGCAGGTTTGATTCGCAATGAGGTCTCTGGATTTTTCAGCTGACCTATTCCTTCCAACCACACTATGTCCCTGGGGTCAACACAGCCTCTAGCAGAAATGAGTACCAGGAACCTTCCTGGGGTTTAAAGGGTGGCTGGCCAGTGTGTAAAGCTGACAACCTCACTGCTGTGAGCCAGGTGTCTAGAACATATGATAGCCTCAGCATCTCACAACCCTATGGGCCTTCACAGCCTGGTACAGGGATAGCTTTGCCTTTTACTTTTCTCTAATAAGAAGCAATAAATGAAAAGAACCTTCAGGTAAACAAAACTGGACCCATACAGGACAGCAAAGTTAAACAGAGATGTGTTGCATTAACCTTTATGCCCCAGGTAAGGGATTTTAACTTGGTGTGTGGAGGGTGTCCTGTGCGTGGGTGCCAGTGTTGTGGAATGAACATTCTGTCTTTAATTCAAGATCAAAGTGACTTGGGGGGGGGAAGTGTAGCCAGGTTATAGAGACAGGGCATAGGAGGCAGCATGTACCCCTCAAGCAGCAGTAAATCTCTGCTAGACCACATGGTTCCATGTGCCATGTGGGATGCAATGCCATGTAGTTTGGTAGATGGGTGTTAATGTTTTAGAGGAATCTGGCACCTGAAAATGGAGGCAGCAGATTCTGTTGAAATGTTGATGCCTATCTACTGAACTACGTGCTGTCACATTCCACAAGACTCTGGTCTTCATACTCACCATTGTGAGAACCACAGACCCCGCAAAAGCTGTAAATCCTAACGAGTTTTTTTTTTATGGTGGGTTCCACATACCCCGCAAAAGCTGTAAATCCTAATGAGTTTTTTTTTATGGTGTGTTCCTTTTTCCTTCTCCCCCTTGCAAAAAATAGTAGTGGAAGTTTGATTTGAGCTTCGTAAAGTAGAGTGTATACTGCACCAAAATTAAAGTCACTTGTAAACTTCCCCCAAATCCAATTGAAATCTGATCATTAGTGTTGGAGGTGAAATATTTAGACAGGCAAATGAACACTTCCTCTCCCTTATGCACAGTAATACCAACTTGTGTTTGTAGCATTGGTTTGTTTCTGGGTTTGTGACGATGACAGTAATTTAATACTGTGAGGCACTCTACCATTATTTTTGGTTTCTACAAGAAATTTGATGGTTGGTGACTTAGAAACATATCCTCATGTCATCCAGCATTAATATTGTCTACAAATTGCCATGTGTGAATTTCCTAATGCACCAGAGTGTAGAATCTTTGCTATTGAAATGTGAGGAGAGGATACGGAGCAGAACCAGATCTGGTGTGTGTCATGTAGTTTGATCGATGGTTACTAGCATCTCAAAGGAATGTGGTGCTGCCATATTCAGGATAGGAAGGAGTCTGCCACTGAATATAACTGAGAGACTGTTGGAATGGGCTTATGAATGAACCCCTTGAAGCCAGTGGGGAAAGGAAAAGCATAAAGGAGGAAGGAAGTGGGAAAAACAAGAGTAAGATACTCCAGATCATAACTGAAGATTAAACATTTCCAATTTTGGTATCATACAGTAAACACGGCTGTTTCTGTGCATTGCCCATCGTTTTCAGGTTTTTTAAACACGCCCATTTGAAAAACTGAACCTGATTTCAGTGTCAGGTGTGAGGAAAGGTTCCTGCATGGTTGGTTCTGTTCAAAGGGCTTTTTCTTGAACACTGGACAATTAAGGAAGTAATCAAGACTTGCTCTAACATGTATTTTTAGGAACTGTCAACACCATTGATTATAAAACCGATATTAAAGTGGGATACAGAAAATGAAACCGAATATTAACACCTTAATATCAGTTTTATAACCAATCAGCTGTTTTATTTACAGCTCTTTAAAGTAGCTTTAATACAAGATACACAGCAGGATGCAGGAAATAAAGATGTGTCTAACAGATCCAGTGGAGTACAGTCTCTCCAGAAGTCGGGTTTAAATCACTGAAACACTATTATTTTCCTCTGTTTATGCTTATTTATTTGAAAACTGGAAACAGTAAATGATAATGGTGAATTACGTTACTTTGTTAATAATTTGTTAGTATGGTGAGTTTTGATGTATTTTGAAATAATGTTCTGATCAAGCCCTGAAACATGTTGTGATGACATTTCTTGCTCAGTTCACGTTACTTTCGCTGTGTTATGGGTAGTATCAGTGACACCTCACAGTTCCACTGTCTTCATTCCAACGTCTGTTAACTTTTTCTGCAGTTGCCTCTCAGTAAACATGTGCAGTTCTATCATACGAATCACCACATGATATTGTTTCAATGAAAGAATCAAACTGAGGACATTGGCATAAATAAGTCTGTGGAAGATGCTAACATCAGAATGTGCAGTCCATTTTCACATGATATATACATCTGTATGCTCATTATAGTACAAGCAGATGCAAAAAATGTGATTCCAGTCATGGGTATTGTTTGCTTATGAATCACTTGATTATGCTGCGTCTTCCTGTCACGTGTTTGATCTTGTTGTGGAGTTGTGTGAATCCTGGTCATGTTCCAGGGTACCTGCAGTAGGTCTTGCCATCTAGATCTTCCATGGAGATCCAGTCTTCTGTGGGACCCACTTCTGACCAATCATCTCGAACCTGCATGGAAGAGATCCATATTTGTAAACTAACCCACTTCCACAGAAAAGTTTCTTCTTGAGAAGCTGATCAAGAAATTTGCTACATTTTATGGAACTTGCAAGTTTATCATCATGTTCACAACAGCCCACATTCCACCCCGTTCCAGATCCATTTTACTGTGTACCTAGACTGCGTCTTCCAAGCAGCAAATCTTTGTAAATTTGAAGTTAATTTACAAATATTTATGCCTGACACACATGCCTTATGATCTAAAATGTAAGGGACTGACTGATCATGTATTTATGCTTTTCCTGTCTGGCCTCCACACACCTTTTCCACTTCCCTGAAGACTCGCACAAGGTTAGCTCCTGCCAGTTTCTTGATATCTGAAGAACTCCACTGTCTGTCTCTTGCAAGCTCAGCCAAGAGCATGGGGTAACGAGAGACGTCTTCCAGTCCTGTTGGTGTACTAAATCAGAAATAGTATGGCTTACTTATCAGGTACTCTTACTTACTCATGGTGCTGAGCCCTTCTTGAGTAGCTGCCAATTTTGCAGCTACTCAAGAATTTCACAGCATTTTATGGAACTCGAACATTCATTACCACATTAACAAGAGCCCTCCACTGGTCCCTATCCTGAGCCAGAGCAACCCAATCCATACCATCCCATCCTCTGTCTCTAAGATCCATTTTAATATTGTTCACCCACCTACGCCTTGGTCTTTCCTTCTGGCTTTCCCACCAATGTCCTATGTGCATTCCTTGTCTCCCCCATTTGTGCTACATGCCCTGCCCACCTCATCCTCCTTGACTTAATCATTCTGATTATACTTGGAGAAGAATACAAGTTATGAAGCTCCTCATTATGCAGTTTCCTCCAACCTCCTGTCACTTCATCTCTCTTTGGTCCAAACATTCTCCTCAACACCCTGTTCTCAAACACCCACAGTCTGTGTTCCTCCCTTAACGTCAGAGACCAAGTTTTATGCTCATACAGAACCGCAAGCAAAATTATAGTTTTGTGTTCTTGGTAACAGAAAACTACAACCAGTACTTCATCTTCTTGGGCTGTCAGCCATGTCAGTTGGTTAAAAACGACCAATGTTTCAAGGACCGTCTCTGTCCCAATTATCAAGATTTAGTCATTCTTAACCAACTGACATGGCTGGCTGATGACCCAATTATATCTTGGGGGAGTACAAGTTATGAGTCTCCTCACTGGGCAGTTTTCTCCAACCTCCTGTCACTTCATGTCTTTTCGATTCAAACATTCTCCTCAACACCCTCAGTCTGTGTAGAGCCATGTAGCCCGCTGAAAGTCAACTGATGTTTTGGAGGAACACTGGCACCTCCATGTTCAAGGTCAAATAAGCTGAGCAAGATACCAGCGTGATAGCAGGTGGCAGGTTCTGCTTTCACACTGGTATCTTGCTTGGCTTATTTGACCCTGAAGATGGAGGTGACATGTACCTTTGAAACGCCGGTTGACTTTGAACTGACTACACAGTGTTATAGCCCACTGTTGTGAGAACTTCAGATCCTACCCTCAGTCTGTGTTCTCTTAGGGCAGCCACACACCAACTGTATCAAGACAAGCATCAAGATCTGAGACAAAAGACAGGCTTGCTTCATTCATGATTCAGACTTGAGTCTGCACACTGAAGTAGCATGTGCATGTGTCTTATCACATCTTCTGTAGTTGGTGACATGACATCAGCTCTTCACTCATGTCGATAACGTACACTGGGGCTGTTCCTTGAATACTGATGTCTGAGGTCTGAGTCTTGACGCACAAAAAAGGAACATGCCGAGTCTTGCTGCATGTGTCTGCAGCATGAAGCTGACATCAACATCATGACTCAGACAGGTGTGCAGCGGCATTTTCATAATCTCATTCATTTCAACTGTGCTCCTTTCTTTGCATCATGTCGCAGACATTGTGTCTTGACTGTTACATGTCTTGATGCATGCCAGTGTGCAGCCTACCTTAATGTCAGAGGCTGTTTCACATCTATACAAAACTGGAGGCAAAATTAGAGTTTTGTATATTTTAATGCTTATAGATTTTTAGATAGCAGATGAGAGGACAAAATGTTCTCAACTGAATGGTAGCAAGCATAACTTGAATTTATATGTGCTCTTAATTTCTACATGAATAAAATTTGTATTTATTACTGCCATTCCCAGATACTTAAACACTGCAACATCTTCAAAAATCTATTAGCTATCTTTATGTTATGATTTTGTTGTGCGTTCTGTTGATTCAGCAACATATATGAGGGTGTTTCTAGGTTGACCTGGACTTTAATGTTTTAAAACATGTATATTTGTGCCCAGTGCTTGAGGTGGAATGAAAATAGAACCGGGATGGTTCAGCATGTGGAAAGAGGAAACATGTTCAGACAAAGTGCGAGAAATGTGATATGGGACTGTGCATTCTCGGGTGCTTCAAACAGTACCACACGAAAGCAAAATTTAGTTAGACGATGCAGGGGAGTAGCCTGTACAACCATGAAACAGATAACAACAACAACAAATGTATTGTACATTTCATTTACTGCCAAAGAAGTAATGGGATGCTTTTAAGCCATTTAGAAAAGAACCGGGATGCCATCCTGCCCCACCTCAAGCCCTGTTTGTGACTCAATCATCAAACTCTCACTCACTCCTTTCCAAGATATTCTCCCTTTACATTACCATTTTTTTTTTCAATCATCCTGGCAAGTTGCTGATACCAGCAGCATGAAAGGTTTTGATCCTGATTGTGTAGCCATTTCAGGACACTGTGTTTGAGGTCATCATCAGTTCAGTATTCCTGTCCTAGATGCACCTTCATTGATCCAAACCAATGAAAATCACTGGGGGTAAGTCATTGTTGCCAGTGGCACTTTAGCAAATCTGCCATATGTTGACAAGCAATGTCATGCAGTAGGTTGATCTTTTGACAGTTTTCTAGGTCTTCTCTTCAGTGGTGCACACACTGAGAAGCAAGTTACTATAATATTGTGCATCATTTGTTACTCCATGTGAAAGAAAATCAACATGAATCATTCATTATGAATCCCTAACGCACATTACTATGATCTTGCCAGCTTTGTCTTGAAGGATCAAGGCTTCTTAGAGTGTTCAGAAAACTTATTGTGCCAATCATGGACACTTGCATGTGACAAAGTCTGACACCATCTTGTATTAGCCTTATGTGCAGAAATGGGGCTCATGGCCACCTGCCAGACATTAATTGCAGTGTTGCCATTAATTATCCATAAAAGAGTTTTATTTTTATGGTGCCCACATCTTCTGGAAAGAAATTAAATCCAGAATAACCTTGATCTACCTTCATAGGCCAACCACCTTAATGGCATAAATTATATCTTCTCTGTTTTTCTCCTTGGTATTTATGTTATTCCCCAACAATTTACATCTTCACCACAGAACAGCAGATGATGTGTCCCATACAATTTGGATCCTGTCTGGTTTTCTTGGACCTCTCTAATGACATATTTTAAATAGTAAACTGTCAGAAGTATCAGTAATTTTCATGTGCTCAGTTATGCTTCGTATTCACACTACTGTTTCAACAGACTGCAAATTCCTTGAAGAATGTCATTTTTTATCTGAATCACATCGTCATTAAAACTTGTTTGTATTCTTAAGTGCTTTTTATTTTTTAGATCCATTCCAGTTAAAAGAAAGTGAGGGGGGACAGCAAAAATTTTGTCTAAGTGAAAAGAGGTGAGGCTCCACATATTCCCAGATGTTTGCTCTAGAACAGGTTTATAGTTATAATTCTGATAGAAGGCAGCAGTGTTCCCTATATTAGATTTGAGGTTCTCAGCTTGGTGAATACTAAGATTATATGATCTGGGATGGAACACCATGTAGCCTTGTAGACAGGTTTCATTGTTTGAGAATGAAGTTTTGTTTCCATCTTTAATGTAGAAAAACATGAAAACAGCACTTTCTCCAAAATGTCTGCCAAACCAGATTGTATTGTCACATCCTGGAAGACCGTATGTTAGCAATGTTTCCACTGATACAGTATGAGGTTTCTTCATCAGGATACCTTCTTTACTACATGTTTTCACCATAGTTTTTTTTTTCTAATTGGCTGGCTGTGTTATCGGGATGGAGAGGTTTCAGATTATAGTATTCACATATACACGGAGATTTATAGGCTGAGCTGTGTCAAGAGCTGTCTTTCTTGCTCAGTCAGCTGCAGTTTTAGTACTGTATAGTGAAGTTTCCACAGCTACATTACAGGATGTGCTGAAAATGTTCCTTATAGGCTCAGATACATTCTCTATACACCAAGTTAGATTCTTACTCACATAATGTAGATATCCACACAAGGAGAAATTGCACTGAGTAGTAGTGTTGGCAGAATGAGATCATCATAAGCCACAAGTCATAACACTACCACCAGATACTCTGTTCAAGGTGTGTATGGGCAGCTGCAGAATCCTGAGAGAAATGTCCATAGAGTTGCCTGAAAATTGCTGTGGCTGTGCTGTCTGAATAATATGTCTTTCAGAATCAATTTTTTCTTCATAAACACTGGGCCAGATGTCCTCATGCTCAGGGTGCACTGAACACAAAATTCGACATCATGGAGTGGATTTTCTGCATTCCACTGTCAGATTTTTATGTATTCACATGTCCATTTAAATAAAACCAAACCTTGTTTGAAAAAAATATCAACTTGGGATGAAATTTGCCATCATGAACTGACATAAGATACCTCTTAGGGAAAAATCTTGGCCATTAACATGACTTTAGGGAATGCACAGCAGTGTCTTGTAAGGTCATAGTTCCTCTAATTTTGTGGCAGTTTTTTCAGTCCTTTCTGATTCTGCTCCTGCATCACAACTTCACCTTTTCATCTGCTGATATGTGATGTTCACATTTTGGTTCCATGTCCATTAATGTGCCATTTCACATTTTGTTGACTTTCAAATAGTGCTTCTGTGGGAAACTGTAACTTCATCTGACTCTCTGAAGTGGAATTCCACTTCACGTAAATACATCAGATGCTGTAACATAAACTTGTGTACATCTTACTCTGTATGTGAACACCACTTCCACTTATAACCATTGTTGACACCTCAGAGAGGATGGGAAATGATGTGGTATTCACACATAGAGGAACAGCCATGGTTCAGCTCAGCCTACAAATAGTGTCACTGGATTAACACCACTCATCCTGTTAAAGAGTGTTGTCAATTATCAAAGAAATATCACTGAATGCTCCTGTAACCTTCCTTCTAAAATGGCAGGACAGAGATTCAGACATTCTCAATACAAAATTGGGGGAAAGTGTCCTTTGGAATATGCTTAAGAGATTTATTATTTGCTTTGGAAAATGGCATAACAAAAAGTCACTTACAGGTTAATGCCATCATATCCAGCTCCCAGTCCTACATGGTTTACGCCAGCGACAGCTCGAATGTGGTTGATGTGTGCTGCAACAAGTAGTGTATCACTGTCGCCACACCCCAAAAATGTGCATTTATTTAAACTCTGAAACTCTTGGATTTCAACTGTGTAATCATAAAACCATTTGTTTGATCTTCATTAGTACTAGTAAAAAACAGTGGAAGATTATAATCCTACAGTTTTTACATATTTTGGCAATGCATTCTTCATACCACCTTGATTGTGCTGATGTTTATTTTTTTCCACATAAAATCTGCTGTCTCATCACATTACAAGCACAAAGCTAAATGCAGCAGTAAATCTTCCCTTAAGTATTTTTTTATTGCTAGCCCTTGTACTGTGGCCACTTCTGGCTTATTGTACCAGCCCCAGATGATAGGTGAGGGTGATTGTGGAGCAATTGGTGGAATGAAGATTGGCAGGGGAAATCGAAGTACTCAAAGAAAACCTGCCCCAGCACCACTTTGTCCACCACAAATCCCACTTGACCAGACCTGGGATCGAACCCGGGCCACCGCAGTGGGAAGCCAGTGACTAACCGCTTGAGCTATGGCGGGGCCTTTCCTTAAGTAACTCTGTGGATCAGAGGCTTTATTGTGAAGCTAATAAATAATCACTCAGATAGTTAGGATATTCCCTGCTTCTATGGAACCTGAATGTTCATTACAATTTCACAATTGTCTGCGACTAGTCCCCATCCTGAGCCACATAAATGCAAATCATATCTCATTTTATTTCCTTAAATAAATATCCATTTTAATCGTTCATCTATGGCCTGGTCTTCCAAAAGGTCTCATCCCTGCAAATTCTATACAGATTTCTGTTCTCTCCCATGCAAGCTATATGCCCTGCTCATATATTTGGTTAAATATTCACCACACCAGATAATTTATTTAATAAAAGTTGTGCATGTTGATGTGAACTACATTTTACATTGATGTATATATGATTTTAAATATGTGAATAATTTTGCAAAGAAGTTGACGTACCAATAACATCGTGGAGTGTCGCAGTGTCTGCGCAGCTGAGGAAGTTGTTGAAGAAGCTGACCATAACTATACCACCATTGAGTGCCTGAAAATATAAAGGTAGCGATTCAGACTTGTAGTTACAAGATACCAAGTTCAGCCTGAGTTAGGAAACCAACTGTCCTGTGATGTTCATGGCTTTTCTCAGTTTCTACAAGGAAGTGCATGGTCAGTATATTGAAACATGCCATAGTGATAAAACTGGCAGAAACACAAGGCTACATAATATTGTAGTGTGTATAGCGGTCGCTATGTAGTGACTGCATGAAGGAACATGCATCACTTGGTAACGGCTGGTATACATATGAACAGTACCCAGGCTATTGCTAGGCAACTGCTCGGTAAATAGGTTCCCATGGCAACAACAGAGGCAGTGCGTTTTCTGTGTGATCTATGCTGAGGGGTTATAAAAAGGTCAAAGACCATAGTTCAATTCTGTTATGAGACAGTGGCCAGCTGGCCATGGTATGAACATGGAAGTGGAAGAATCTCCATTGTTAGAAGTCGTTACCAAGAAACGACTAGTGGACAGTGTGGCAGAACACTTGTGTGTGCATAAGAGTGAACATTAAAGTGTGGAGATTAGCATTGGTGCTCTGATTACTTATAGCTCTGATTAGTGTGTATAAGTGATCAACAAATCCATTCGCCAATCCAAACCACGTCTCTAGTCACCCCCAACATGTGGCAGTATTGTGGTTTTCTCAGTGGTGAAGATTCAGGTAGGGGTCTGCCAGAATATGAAACCTTGTAGTCTGGTAAGCAGGTATCAACAAAGATGCTGTCTGCATCTTGAGGGCAGATGGAGGCAGAACGTTTCTGCAGAACAATGGTCTCATACCCCAGAAGACAGCAATATCACTGCAGGATCACATACTATGTATGTAAGTACTTTGTGTTCAGGATGTCTTGGGTTTAGGCACAATAGATCACTGTGGTCACAGTGCAAGGGCCAAGAAGGCCCACCCCTTATACATTCATGTCCTTGGTTTGAGTTGTATATTCCCACTGAGATTTTTTGTGCTGTTTCTCAGTCCCTCTACATAAATCCTAGTGTTCTGCATTAGAATGGGCCATGACCACATCCTGCACACGGAGCAAGTCGCCTCAGTGGATAGCACTTCTGATGTGTATTTGGTAGGTGCCTGAGTGAAATCCTGACTGAGGTTTCTCATGTTGTCCCTAAGTATCTCCAGGCAAATGCTATGTACAGCCAATCAGAACAGGATGTTGCCTATGTGGGGCTGAAACTGGGTACTGATCTAGCACATTACTAATCCATTACAGAGTTTCAGGCAGGTGCAGTGATCTGTATGCCTTTGGTTTCATGTTGCTAAAAATAGTAGGGAGACTGATCACAGTAACCATGCAGTCTAAGGCGAGAACTGTTTTCACCCGCTCAATCTGGGGTCATGTGTTTGAATCCTACTCAAGTTATGTATGTGTGTATGTGCGTGTGCGTTTTCTTCGTGTTTGTGCTGTCCTGTGTGTAGGTAGCGTTCTTGTGACAGACTGATCCCCCAACCATGGAATTCTACTGCCTGTGTATAGGAGTGTTTAGGATTACAAAACTGAAAAAGTCACCAGGGCCCAAGAAAGGGCTGTAGAGCCATTGAGGAAAGAATGAGAAATAGTAGGGAAAGTTAATAAGAGCACTAGTAACAGCAATTAACCTCTGTGATCCATGTACAGGGATTTGAAATCCCCTTTTGCTCTGGGGCTGGTAGAATTTAACTCTGGGGTGACAACATTAGTACTAAAAAATACAGTGCACTATTGATAAAGGGTAATATGTGTTAATGATTTTTAGTAATATTATGTTTCACATCTTATTCTGGTTTCTGTGTGTATTTTATGTACCCAAATATATCTGTGCCCATCCATAGACACATGCTGGATGTGCTTTTGAACCTTCAATATTTTAACATAATTACACATTTGAATGATTATAGGAAAAGATCCTACTGTGTAAGTATATCTTAATGAGTGAAATGGATTTCATCAAGAAATGTGTCTTATCTGCCTTACAGCACAAAAATTAGCTTTTCACAACTAACTGTATTCACTCACCAGTTTTCTTAAAATGTGGTCAGGTACATTCCGCGATGAATTGCACAAAGCCAGTGCTGATGAATGTGAAAATATGACTGGAGCTTTAGTTACATCTAATGCATCCACCATTGTCTGAACAGACACATGTGACAGATCAACCATCATACCAAGACGATTCATCTCACGTATCACCAGCTGAAAGTTAAAGTATGTATGAAGTTATATATCTAGGTTAACAGGTATCATTTTACGAAATCCTTGTAATTCTCTGATTTTATTCATACTTTTGTTTTGGGACCTCAGTTGCAGGTGTATATACAGCCTGACATTGTATCTTTATAATGCATCTTTTTACTTTATTTCACTTTTCAGTATTACTCCTAGTCTGTCTATCAATCACTTTCAGACTGGGATATTGTAATGAACATTTTATTGGAAATTGTATTCAGGGCCAAGCAGCCTGTATAGCTGAGAAGCTTTAAACCCAACACATTTGCATGCACATGCACACACTGCAGCATCAGAATGCCAAGAAATGACATGCATGTTATGTGTCAGTGAGACTGATGAGTTCATGTGTCTGATTTAGCTGGAAAGTGACTGATCATTTTTAAGTCAGGGAGACTTCAAGAATTTTTCAAAATATTTCTATGACAAGAAAACACTGATGACACGAATCTGTCAAGCATCTGTGATGTCATCTGCAAATACTAGTACATCTCATTATATGCAAATAAGAAAAACATTTTAATGCAGTCAACTAATTTAGGCTGATTTCCTGAATGAGAATTGCTTGCTGGCCGATTGACTGTTGGGAGAAGCATAAAGAGGGGAAAATTATATTGGGTTTATGCAATTTCACCCTTTGAGACTTTTTCGTTTTGGAATACAGCTACTGCATAAATCGAGGAATACTCGTATGTTTTATTTCAGTTCATGTTAGGTGAAGAAGAGTAGTACATGGGATTTCATATAAAGGGCAGTGAAGTTTGTAAACTGGAACTGGAGTGGAATCCTTAATCCACAGAATGTTTTTGTTAAATGTAGTACTAAGGGGGCAGATTTACACTTTGATATATCTCCATTTGAAATTTCATGTGTCTAATTTGAATGATTCATGATTTATCACTATAAAATCAAAAGCTGAAAAAAGTTATCATGCAGCCTTCATTTTGTTCTTTGCATTCTACAAAAGAATGTTCTCAATAAAAGTTGCATATTTTTTAAATAAAATGTCACTGTACATTGTTTCAGGGCCCCGTACAAGGTGTCACTCCAACATCAGTGTTCCACCACCCTTCCGTGATTCTGTCATCAGTTGTAGGAAATGAGAACATATTAACTTGGAGTGGGCCCTAGTAACTACTGAACCTACAAAGTTTTGTGAGAATTTTTTTAAAACTTGAAATGAGGTGGACAGACATTATAGTGACCTCATAAGTCTCCCTTCTTCCCTCAAGAAAGCACAGTCAGTTCAGTTATCAAGTACACACCTTTCCAAAGCCAGACAGCCCTCCATGTTCAATAAAGTCCATTGGCAGTGTATCACTGGGATCATCAGCCAGTGAGGAGTCTGCCCTGACAACAGGCAACATTTGAAGCACATCACTGATATGTTGCAAGCTACCAGTACTTTCGAGTTCTGATCTTAAGCTGCACTTTTAATCCTACAAAGTATAGTAGTTACTGTATGTACTGCATGCTGTAACTGTCAAAATCTCTGTATTGTCCGCACAGTGTATTCAATCTGTGTTTCATAGGGTATTTTGAATAAACAATGATTATACTTTTATCTCTAAACAGTATTAACCAACTGGTCATTGGTTTTTCTGGGGTAGGAATTGAATTTTTAAATATTATTGAGATAACTTTCATGCCCCAGTGAGTTAAATGGACTCATTGTAAGAGTAGGATTTGAAATCTTTAAGAACCAATGCATTTATAGAGTAGCAGATATTTTTTTTCATCATGGGTCCAAAAACAACATATGGTTTGTCTCTTGTGACATCCTTCCAGCTGTGCAATGTTGGATTAGGTTGAAAATTGCAATTATGTAAAAGGTAATAATGATTGATGATTCACAGAAGGAAACTAAGTGTCAGAAAAGAGAGACAGGAAGCTTTCCATTATAGATTTCACCATCTTTGCGGGCCCAGTAAATGATATGCTTGCACTTCTATATGAAGAATCGATACTCAGTTGCCACCACTCATGTTCAGGCAGACACAACAGCTGTTTCTTAACATGTGTCAGTGCAGCTAATGTAATTCACTGCATTCACACCAGATCTTATAAACTGACTCAAGACCTTGCCCCCAAAGGCAAGCCATTTTGAAGCAATTCATGGGAAGACTTGAGGAAAAAGAAGACCCTTTTAGTTCTGTTATGATGTAAGCTTTACATTTCCCATAAGATGGAGCCATGGTTCAAAGGTGATGAAAAATGATCCATTAAATGCGTTGTTAATTTGGTTTGGTAGTGAACACTCAGTATAGGTATACAAATAGTTTTTAACTCTTACTCAGATCATTTCTTATGTCTGCGTTTTCTTTATGTCCTTCAAGCAGTCTCTGCGTTCATCAGCCCATTTGATATTGGGGCAATTCTCTCAGCTGAGCTTTCTACTCACCAAGGAGTGTTGCAAGTGTGTGTCAGAGTCATGTACCGTGCACCAAGTTGGTAGAACATCCGAAGCACAGCCAGGCTTGACCCCAGTGAGTGACCTCCTTCCACACCAATCAGGCTTGCTACTCTGCCAGAATGGTGCGCTTCCTCAATACCTGTTTTTCACACAAATGCAAGACAGTGGTAAGTGCTCTGACTGTTGAAGGTTTGGTGCATGAATAGACTGTTTATGTTCATTTGCTTTTCCTTCTATGGCTACAGAGATAAATCAGTCATTTTTCTTGCACTGAATGCTCATATTATTCTGATACTTTTTTAGTTAATGATTCTTGATCCTGTGTTACCACTCATAAACCTACTAAGCAGTTTGGGCTGGCAGGCTGTCCTCAGTAGAATATAGCATCTCATTTCAAGGGATTACAGGATACCAATCGCAAACCATTACAGTACTTCAAAGAACGACTTCTTTCACGATTATGAAGGGTAACACCATCAAGAATTACTACTAATTTGTGTCGTATTAATTCCAAATAACTCACTATACTGTGATACCAGACTGCAACATGAATCTTCACCATCACAAAAACTTCAGGTCATATACACTGAACATCTATTCACTTAGTATGCATTCCAGTAATTTTGCAGAAGTCATTCTGAGATGTGGACTTTTTATTGTGTTAAATCACAGCTCTTTAGCTGCACTTCTGTTTTTTTTTATAGTGCAATATCTAAAGTTCCGGTTGCAACAAGCAACATAGCTGGTAGCAACAGTCACAAGTTGCTTGCCAGATTTTTCCAAATAGAGTTCCTTCCTCGGTATCTATAGCTTGTGTACATATCTCTAGAAAATTCCCTTTGCATTCTAAGTAGACATGACCCAGTAAGAGTGCCTTTTGTGGAGGGGCATTTGTAAACTCAGGCTCACCTTTGGCAGTTGTTACAAGTTGCATCTGATTAGGATATTTATCCACAAGACGACGTATGACATCAATCTGTTCCAAAGTGAGCTGTACTGAGTCGAGGTACTGTGATCCACACGGGACATAGGCTGACCAGAACTGTGAAATTAAATCCAGCAGCACTTAAATGAGCATAAGAGAACTGTGGTACAGAGACACTACACGTTACAAGCAGAGCGTGTTATTTTACCTGTGCACCAACCATGCCTTGCTTTAGCCGATGCAAATCTGTATGAGACCAGACACTTTGTGACCATGGTTCTTGCTGACGTAGATCCTCTGAGAAGTGGAAGTCATGCAGTTGGTTGCGCAAGAATTTGCGTATGTTCCATGGTAAATCATTATGTCTGCATGAAACAAGAAGAAGGCTGAACTAAGTTGTTTCTGAGCTCCTCCAAACTTAGAACTGACAATCTCTATTTTTATTTTCTGCATACTGTTGTGTATCATGATTAAAGATATAATTGAGAGCCATCAACACAACAGTTGATTAGAAACTGGTGTTGGAACCTTCCACAGTGCATAACAGACAACTCCCGCAGTGCAAAGTCAAAGTCACATTGTGACTGATGCTCAGTCAATCTGTCTGTCTTGGTGTTGAGTCCTGGCTGGGGCTCATGACCAGATGTTTCTTTTAAATGAAAGTTACTGTCCTGTCCATGTGGGGCGCCCTTTCTGACTGGAGGTCGGATCTGTCATTAGTCAGTCACAGTCGATAGTATTAGTCCATTGTCACTATGTACACTTGTTTACAATTGACTCCTGCAGTGCACTGAAAACAGGCAATATTTTTACATCACTTGCAGCCTGGCTCTCTAGACACCAACACAAGCACTATCCAATCAGCACTCACAACTGCAGCAATATTTATACATTGCTTGCAGCCTGGCTCTCTAGACACCAACACAAGCGCTATCCAATTAGCGCCCATAATCGCAGCTCCATCGCCAACTGGTCTGTGCACCGCCCAGCGGTAATGGTATAAAGATATGGGCCTCCAACTGGCTACCATCATGAGGATCATTCAACAGTGTGGGTTCGAGATTCAAAGCTGGTGAGTGAGTTCGATCGAGATCAGACAGCAGTGAATGAATAAAGAGAGATCAGTATTGCTATTAGTGACATTGGAGTGGACTGATCATCGGTTAACATTAATGTGTGTTTGCCTGCTGCAAACACTGATTCAATGTGGGTTCAAGAGACGATCAGGCCATTCAGTGTGGGTTCAGGAATCATCAGGCATCGGTTTAGTGTTAAAAAACTTAGACTGAGCAAGTGTGAAAAAAAAATAATTAAATAATTCAGTGACACTAGTGTGATAACAGTAAAGTTGGAAGTGGATCGTGCCATGCTAGAAATGGTGGGTGTCCTTGTGCTGGGGTACCAGGCACTCTGGGTTGAAAAACGTGCCTCCCTACAGGCAGAGTACAAGGTGCAGATAAAGCAGTACTCTAATGTGGATACGCAGTACAGGCACTTATTCAACATCCTATGCAACACTGATGACGTGGCTAGGCTCCCACCTGCTGCGGTTGGAGAGAGTGCCGAATGGGTGGCAATAGTCAGTGCCATCAATGACAACAGAGTCAACTATTGCAAGGCCCTCTCCGGCAAGACACTGTTCAGTGCACTGTATGGAAATTATAGTTACACTGAATGAGCTAAAGTCCCTGTTGAAGGCCAGCGCCTCAGGAACTAAAAATCCAGCCGGAGTGGAAGGCTTCAAAGAAGTCCAGAGGCGCAAACAACACAGCACCACTGAGTCTGCCCTGACTTAGAAAAAAAGCAGCAGCTGCCTCCAGAAGCACCCGGACAAATTAGGTTACCACCCACAACTACTTCGCACCTCTCAGGGCGACAACAATGGACACAGACACTTCTAGTGCCGAAGCCACTACACTGGAGGAGGAAGCCCCACATAAAGCAAGCAGCCCCCCCCCCCATCTAATGAAATTGCAACACCTGCAAAACAAGGTTCTCCACACAATTGGCAATTTTCCAAGGCACACACCGGTCCACAATTTGCACATGGCATTCAAAATCCCATACATATATGACTATATAACAAAATTATGCAGGCAACAAGCAGAAGTCATATAAAATCATGATAATGAGAATGTTCGCAACATTGGACATGGTGAAGCCCGTCACAGAAAGTATAATAGGCTTAAACTTGGCTGCAGTCAGGCATACGACCGTTCAAGTGACTAGACTGCCGTGGTAGCGAATACTACTAGAAATAGGGCAAAATCTGCTGTACTGAGCCTGGAATGACAGAGGCCTTGTCTATATTATACATACTAGATATTAAGGCTCAATTGTAAATAAGTGTACATATTGACAATGGACTAATACTATCGACTATGGCTGACAAATGACAGACCCGACCTCTTGTCAGAGAGCACACCAAAGGGACAGGAAAGTAACCTTCATATAAGAATAAACATCTGGTCAGGAGCCCCAGTTGGGTTTCAACACCAAGACAGACAGACTGACCGACCATTAGTCACAATGTGACTTTGACTTTGACTTGGCTACCATCAGTTTTCATCAGTCACCCTTCACTGCAAGCAGAATACCAACACCGCTCCACTCTCCAGTAAACAGCACCGCACTGACCCTGCCAGCTCATGCCCCGTAGACAGCCAACTCTGCCAGCACACACACCATAGCGCCTAGCCAGCCAGATTCGCTGCTATCCTGCCAGCTCGTAAGCATCCAGTGGCTGCTAAGAACACCTGGCGGCTACTAAGAAGACGCAGGGCAGCAAAAGAAGAACATTGGGCTGTCGCAAGGAAACACGCTGTGCTTGCTACTTCACTTCAATGGAGGCTAAACAAAACGGCCCTTTCTAGGGCCTCCACTCAGCACTGTCATCACTAGGCTGGGCTAACTGCCACGAAAGGAGTCTCCATCGGTATTCTTCAGACACACTCCCCACTCATCTGTGATACCAGTTTTAAATGCAGTGAACATTTATTGTTATAGTTAAGTGGTTGTCTCAACTAACATCGACATCCCACACTGGTATTAAAATGTTTAATATTTGGATTCTTTTCTTTTCAAACCCTACATGTTTTGATCATCACATATGTCATCACTGAATTAATTTGTAAACCACCTGATGATGATATTTGCAGATCAAAATGTGTAGTGGGTTCAAAATAAAATAAATTAAACATTTTAATATCGGTTTATAATCAACTGTTGTGCTGTTGACTCTCAGTTATATCTTAAAATATTAAAAAATTAGAGTAGTTACTGTTGCTTAGTTTTATTGTGACCCACCTAATGCTCAAGTGCTGTGAAGTCAAAACATCTTGTATTGTGTTACAGAATATGGTTCAGAAGTACAGAATTTTAAAGGAAAGAAAAATTACTGACATTGAAAATGGATTTTGGGGCTGTTTGACAAGAATATCAGGGAAAGACAAGAATATCAAGGAAAAACAAAGTTCTAGCAAATGTATTTAGAGAAAAATATATGCTAATAAGGTATGAAAAGAGAACAGTATGGTGTATGCAGTGTCCCAGGGGGAAAGGTCAATATTCTTGGAGAACAAAGTATCAGTCATTCTAAGGTAAAAGACATATATGCACTTGTGTCCTATTCAGAACAGTTTCCAGGACAGAGGTAATGAATGTTATCGCCCACATAAAGGAATGTCAAGATACACTCAGACGAGCAACAGCAATGTCTTCACACGAGTTGCAAAGTGCATTGATGTTGACAATGAAATTTTTTAAAGTAAACTAAGTAAACTGTACCAACAAATACCATGACTGGAAACAGTTTGTAATTTTCATAGTATGCATCCTGTTATGTGTCATATATAGGATATATGATATACAGGGGGCAGTCTAAACAACAGTATTTCTGAAAAAACAAAATAGATACTGCTGTATCAACATTTGTTTATCGACTATTGACGCTATATGTTTTGACTCTTATGTTGGGTCATCATCAGGCGTATAATAATACAAGCATTAATTGCATCTTAATTCAATATGGATCCATAGTCTGTTCTTATAAGTTCTATATACATAATTTGAATTTACAGTTAAATGGTAAAAGTTAAAATTAAGATTGCACAAGAATATATGTAATACTTATTATAAACCTCTTTAAAAGTCTGTGACTGCTAAGTATTGATATACTGTTCCATGTGATAGGAATAATTATGTTGTGGGGTGTCCACATGTCGAGATCTTCCATCATAAACTAGGTCATGTTGGTTTGACCTTCATAATGTTGTATGAAGCTTATGCTCATTATACTATGTATCACTCAATGGGTTGTTTATACTTGGAGTGATGTATTCTAGGTTTTTTGATGTTATTTGTAAAGGTAGTTCCCCGTGATGATGTTGTTACGTTGTAGCAGTTCAGTCTCAACCCTTTATAAAGCACAGTGGTAACGTTCAACCACATGCTGTAACATTCAGAAACTCTGCATCCTTCCTTGTCACCCATAGCGTGTATTTATACGATTCATGTGGTTCTTAGGATAAACACCAGTAACTGTCCGTTGTTTGTAATGGAGATTCTGTGTTTTCTGTGAGGTAGGAATGAACCTTTAAGTGTCATTTAAATTAATTTCAAGCTTCAAATAGTTAACATACTGGGAAAAAGGAAAATATACCTGCCCTTTGCAGGTACTCCAATTCTCCAACTGACTGGCTGTCGTCTGACACAACTTAAGAACTTTTCATGGATAAAATCGGATACTTGTACAATAGTACAAGTTCATAACTAGGATCTAAGAATCACTTTCCTACACTGTGCTGTACATCATGATTTCATTCTCACCCATCCACAAGAGGTACCTCCTTTAAGATGCGTCTGACCACTTGTAATCGAGCCTCAAGAAGGCGTGAAGAACGAAGTTCCAGCGCAAGTGGTACCCCCACTCCCACTCCCAAAGCAGCAGCAACGATCAGAAGGCCACAGACAGCCAACCATTGCTTGCAGTCAAGCTCCAGCACAGCTGCAAACAGTGAAGTTCCAAAAATTATCCCTGTGTCTTATCACCACTTAAAACCATGGAAATAAAGACTGGTGTGATGTGGGTGTGGCATGAGCTACATCTTTCCTCATATGTCACTTACCAGTGCCACACTCTCCCCTTGGTCTGCCCATTGCCTGTCTTGATCCTTCCCTATATACACGGTGTGTCCCACATCAAGTAGGACTAGTTCCCCCCCCCCTTCAATGCCATCTGTTGGCGAGTTGTGGCGTTAAGATTCTTGAAGTTTCAGCTGTGGCTGTCTATAATTTCAAAGCACAAGCATCGCTGCATTATGTGTTCAATTCCAAAGGAATCATTCACAAGGAATTTCTGCCAGAAGGTCAAACAGTGAATTCTGATTATCATCTTGGAGTCCTCAATTGTTTGTGGGCGAGAATTCTTCGAATTCGACCTGAATATTGAGAGCAAGGTTCCTGGTCACTCCTCCACGACAATGCCCCCCCTCCCCTCCCACAAACTGAAGATTTTGCGCGATTTTTTGGCCAGAAAAGGGATCACAATCCTTGATCATCCTCCGTATTTGCCAAATTTGGCTCCAGCAGATTTCTCGTTGTTCCCAAAAGTTAAGTTGGTGATGAAAGGAGACCATCACAACACCATCCAGGACATCCAAAGGGAATCTACAGCAGTTTTAAATGCGATTCCACAAAAGGAGTACAGTGACTGTTTTCAAGAACTTTTTAATTGATTCCAGCTATGTATTGATTCAGAAGGGGACTATTTTGAATAAAAAGAGTGAAATTTTGAAAATAATTCATGTCTTGTATTTTTAATGAACACAGTCCTAACAGAACCTGGACACACTGTGTAAAAACCACTGTTATGCACCCAGCTTACTGTTCTGCTATGCAGGTGGAGGTGCCATGTTCTTCTCAAATGTTGGGAACTATTTTTCTTGTTCTTTCACTATATTACTACTTTGTCAACTTACTGTCTTTGAACAGGCTGACAAATTCAGACAAAAAACATAGTACACATTATTTGGGGTTTTCCAAGCAGACATGCTATTAGTCATGAATGTATTTGGCTGTTAGGAGGCTGTGTGAGCACCACAACTGGTCTGGATATGATAGTTAAGAGAGAAATCTCAAGTCTGCTAACAGAAATCAGTTCCTGGCTGTTCAGTCCTTATAGACTTCACTGAATGAGCTCTCTTTCTATTATGGCATGTAGACCCATAGCTAGGCAATGAACATGAAATAAGCATCCATACAACAGCCACTGTTAAGTAATGGCTCTGCAGACAACTGCCATCGCTAGCCAATGGCTGAATAGCAATAACGTGGTCACACCAACAGACAAGAATGCATCAATTGCACAGGAACAGAGGAACAGGGTTTTCTGTGTGGTCTGTGCTGAGATGTTACAAGCAGGACAAATTTTTGTTAATGAGTTGGTTGCTGAGAATTAATTGACCACTGGGGTTCAGTTGTTGTGAGCTGTTGCTGTGAGAAGCTGGTAGCTGAGGTTGGGGACCATTTGGGAATCCAGAGGAAGGGGAATGTCTGCAGTTGAAAGCTGCTGCCATGCAACACCTAGTGAAGACTGAAACAGACTGAGAAGACCTAGTGCATCGTGTAGTGATTTGTGAAATGTGTAGCACAATGAGAGCATAATCCCTACTTGTAATTATAAGTTCAGTAAATCCGTTCATCAATCCAAAACCTGTCTATAATCACTAAATCACATGATATTCTTCTGTTACAAGTCACAGAATATGAAACATGAGTAACCAACCTGGTTTTACAGGATTTGTATTCCCTAACATTCGTCAGATATAAACCGAAATACTCATTGAACATTTGTGAAATTATGTTGAAGCCTAATAATTGCAAACATGTTTATTATGCTTTCTGTTCTTTGCAAATCTTTTAATATACTGTTGAATTCAAATGTGCAATGTTACCATTTCGCATAAATATAGTGTTATTTCCTTTCCTTCCAAATACAAATTACATTCATGTAAGTTCAAATTCACACATAAAAAGTTGAAAATTTACAGAAATAATTAATACACTGATCATATTTTACTGTATATAGAAGCTCTCAATACATTCTGTACAACTGATATGTAAAGAAAGGTTGTCTAAAATTTAGGCTTTGATATGTGTATAAAAAGGTTCTATACAATTGTGCAAATATAGTACAGTAAATTATTAATCCTTGTGATTATAAAAGTCCCTTACTGTCATGTCGTTATCTACAGTATTATGAATTGTACTTCCTTACAAACTGAAGGCATTATAAAAATATTCTTGAGGAAGAACCAATACTCTAACGTAGGTCACTCTTGTGCATTCTTTAACTAACATGAAGCTGGTTGAAGGGGTACAATGAAATGCTAGAGAGCTAACCAATGTTTTGCTCACTGATCTTTTCAAGTCAGTTCTACTATCTTGGCTATTTAAATGTAGTATCAAAGCTATGAGATACAAAGGATGAATTCTCCACACATGCTGTGCAGATTAAATAGATTATCATTTTTAATTAGACAATGTAAAACAGGTTCCCTTGCTTTACAGAACTTGAAATAATGAGGTGGTTAACACTTTCCACATGTGGGTATCTGGCAGTAACCAGTATGACATCTTCTTGCAGTCAGATCAATTAATTTACCATCTTTCTGGTCTCTTCATAATGGGCTACCTTAAAAATTAAACTATGTGTTCTTAATTCCCATTAGGATAATGTAGATACCATAAAGAAAAACACACAAACTTTAATTGACGCAAGTAAAGAGGCTGGTCTAGAAGTAAACACAGAGAAAACTAAGTATATCTTGCTGTCTCGTCATCAAAATGCAGGGCAAAATCATGACATAAAGATACGAAACAGATGTTTTGAAAATGTGGCACAGTTCAGATATTTCGGAACAACAATAACAAGTCAAAATCTGATTGAGGAGGAAATTAAGAGGAGATTGAACTCAGGTAATGCTTGCTACCATTCAGTCCAGAACCTTTTGTCTTCTCATCTGTTGTCCAAAAACATAAAAAGTAGAATATACAAAACTATAATTTTGCCTGTGGTTCTGTATGGGTGTGAAACTTGGTCTCTGACATTAAGGAAGATAGACTGAGGGTGTTTGAGAACAGGGTGTTGAGGAGAATATTTAGACCAAAGAGAGATGAAGGCACAGGAAGTTGGAGAAAACTGCACAATGAGGAGCTTCGTAACTTGTACTCTTCTCCAAGTATAATTAGAACGATCAAGTCAAGGAGGATGAGGTTGGCAGGGCATGTAGCACGAATGGGGGAGACAAGGAATGCATATAGGATATTTGTGGGAAAGCCAGAAGGAAAGAGACCACTGGGAAGACCAAGGCATAGGTGGGTGAACAATAATAAAATGAATCTTAGAGAGATGGTATGGATTGGATTGATCTGGCTCAGGATATGGACCAGTGGAGGGCTCTTGTGAACACGGTAATGAACCTTTGGGTTCATAAAATGCTAGGAAATTCTTGAGTAGCTGCAGAATTGGCGGCTCCTCCAGAAGGGCTCAGCTCCATGAGTAAGTAAGTAAGTTCTTAATTCAGGGAAATCAGACCATCCCACTATGGGCATAACCTGTTCTCCAAAAATCAGGGTTGTGTATTACTAAAAGCATAACAAAGTACCTTTAGTACCCTCAGTTCATTTACATGACATTCTTCCCCCCCCCCCAAGGAAGAACAGTAGGTATTCAATTTCTCATGTGTTGTTGTGAAGTAAGTTTGTTTCAGGTCCTGAAATAATTTTTGATATTGACTTCTTTCTGCAGACAGCAGTTTTGGAATGCTGTATTTATTATCACCTTACATTATGTGATAATTCGAAATCGAATGGTCTTTGGCCATGCCATAGGTCAAACATTTACCTTCCAGGGCACGGGTACAACCATCAATTTATCCAGGAGAGGAGAGAGACAATAAGTTTGCATACAGAACATATGCTGAAGACTAATTTAATAATTAAAGAAAAACTAATTATTTATTATTATTTGATATATTTCCTTTTTTATCTTCAATTTTGATTTTTTAAATATCTGGGGTGGGGGAAGGTGCATAGTTTGCTCCCCAGCTGCTGATGCCCATATGCTGGAATCTATCCACAGAAGCGCAGGGTAGTTTGCATGGGATCTGTGACAGGGAAAATGAAACTGGAGCAGGTTTCTGTTAGTATTTTGGTTTCATCTCCCAATCACCATTCTACCAGTGTTTCATGCTCTTCAATGTCCTCATCATCAGAGGACTCAGTTTTAATCCCACTTCAATCCTGAAATTATTTACTAAATGAAACCTTTCTGCACTTATATGATCAAAAGTTATATATGTACAAGGTAGTTCAAATATGACCAGGACTGATTTGTGCGTAAACAAGCCGCAATGCGCAGCAGCTGTGCGACCTTGAGAGAGTGAAGCCACAACCTCCACCCTCCCTCCTGTTCGGGTTAGAACCTGTTCAGTCCTGCCTGGGAGTTCCTAGAGTGATGAGCAAACAGAAGGTACTGCGGAGCGTGGAACAATGCATTGTGATCAAATTCCTCATTGGAGATTAAGGTCCCGTCTGCTGAAATTCACCACAGGCTCCAACAACAGTATGGAGAACAGTGTCTCTTGATGGACCCATGTGTTTGAGTGGTGTAAGTGCTTCAGAGAGGGCAGAGAGCACGTGGAGAATGAACCGCATGATCGTCGGCCGCGAACGTCCATCACCGAGCCAAACATTGATTGTGCAGACGCGCTGAACTATCACAAGGTGAATGCATGGTGTGTACCACGCACTTTGATGGACGTGAACAAAATGGCGCGCATGCAACCTGCCAGTCGTCTCCTACAGCAGTCTGAAGATGGTGATACATTTTTGAAGTCTATAGTGACCACCGATGAAACGTGGGTGCACTAGTTCATTCCCAAGTCCCAGCAGTCATCACACAAGTTGCGGCATACCAGTTTTCCCAAACCCAAGAGAGCGCGGAGGAGCCGTTCGGCAGGAAAAGTGATGGCAACGTTCTTCTGGGACTGGCAGGGGGTGAAGGAAAAGATCCAATCCAAGCGGAAGACAGGTGGAAAGAGGGTAGCCTTCCTTCAAGATAATGCACACCCCCATACGGCCAAAACAATGTAAACCCTCCGGAAATTGAAATGGAACCTTCTGACACATCTGCCATACATTCCTGATTTGGCCCCAAGTGATTTCTACCTGTTCAGAAGGGTCAAATCAGACTTGCAAGGCATGTGGTTTGTGGACAACGCCATCATCCACACTGTTCGGGAGTGGATACACTGCCAACCACAAGCCTTTTTTGAAAAGGGCATCAGGATGCTTCCAGAATGTTGGAAAAAATGTGCTGAATCCAGAAGGGAGTACGTTGAAGACTGACATGTGGAAGTAAGTGTTTGGCAATTAAGGTTTTTAAAAAAAATCAGTCCTGGCCATATTTGAACCACCTTGTACAAGTATATACATGTTTGGTATTCTTAAATGTAAAGATCACTGAAAAACAACACTGTGAATTGTTCCCAGTAACAGCAATATACCTCTTTCTCCATTACGTAATTTGCTTCCACCAGAATCTGTCACTTTTTCTCCAGAAGATGAGGGACTTTGCAAAATTGCAGCGGCACCATTTGGCAGTTTCCGTTCCAAATCAGGACTGCCTGCCTAAATGACCAGCAGAAGGAACAGATACATAAATGAATATACTCACAGTCACAAATTATGTTACAGTGAAAAAGAAAACTCATTCACTAATTATGGCACAGTAAAACATAAAGATTACGCATAATTGTACAAATCTTTTTACTTATGAGCTGATTCTGTGTTAAATTTGGCAGATACGAACACAAAGCTTTGTTCCTTGGCCATGTATGTAACTGTTGACTTATAAACAGTATTTCAGACATACTTTGTAGGAATGTCTACTGTCTGTCTTCATATTAAATTTTATGTTTATGCTCCATTAGACTTTGGTGTCAAGCTGGAAGCTAAATAAAATTTCTGTATAGCTGATATGGCATTGTACCTTCTACATAAAAATTACTTCAATAGAATGGGCATTTTCCTTCTTTTAATCTAGTGCCATATGTCATTTTGGGACCCTACATTGATCAGTACTACTGTCACTCCCATCTCACAAGTTTTCTCTTTGCCATGTCCTTGTTACAAGTTGCAGAAAGTTTAAAAGTACAAGATTGGAGGAGGCCTCTACTTGCATAACATTTATACCAAAGTTTGTGGAAATCTTTCAAGGTCAAAAATTGAAATGTGAGACATGGACACCCACACAAACAGCATGGTGATTCTTTTCTTAAGAAAGGAAAGTAAACAGAAAAAAAAAACAAATGCAGTTAAAATCTGCTCATTAACAGGACAGCCACTGAATTAATATCCTCATTAGGAGGAGAAATATTCCCTTGAGGAGCATGAATTATGAAAGAAATTTCATACCCAGTACAATATAACTACATAATAACAGATTAATGCAGACAAATATCAATAAACCTTCTTGACTGATGAAAGAATACAGAACAGATTCTTCAGTATAAATCAAAGAGAGACTAAACTAAGGAAGAACTTAGAAACGATGAAATATATTTGTGAAGTCGAACAGGCTTGACTAACTATACTATGGAAATGAAATAGAGGAATATAATGTACCTCGCAAGAGGACATGTTATGACTTATCTCATGGCATTTAAATTCCCTTGTATGCACTACTGCAAAGCAAAATTGCCACAACTTAGAATCCATTAATTTGTCCCATACTGTGTGTAATTTAAAACTGTCCCTTAGAGATGAGATTTGGTAAGAGAAAATAGCCCTTCTTCTAGCAAAAGTGGAAATTGTTGTACTTCCAAGCAGTTCTTCCCTTTTTAGATGTTTGTTGATTTGTAGGCAGGCAGGTGCCCCAGCTGAGGTTACCACAGGAATCTATCGAATACAGACATGTTACTGATTCAGTTAATTTCTTGGTTTAGTCTGGACTAAAACATCAGACTTGGTCAGTTTTTAATGGCAATGTTGCACAAAATACATTGTATGTTAATGTTAGAGCAGGTGGTTCATACTGTAGCGTATAGAGCACAGCCCTTGGAAAAGAAAAAATGATGGTATGCCTGTAGGCTGTTCAGGACAAATAACTTTAAGGAGGGAGCAATATAGCGTGTTGAGCCATTACTATGCAACAACTGTGAGATAAAGCAAATATAGCAGAGCCATTTCAAAGTAACAGTCGCAAATGAAAACATCTCCACAGCAAGAAATCAATGTGCAACAGTGGATATACCGTTGGAAACAATGTTTTCTACAGTGGTCTGTGCCAAGGGGTTATAAGGAGGACAACTGGGGCAAGAAATCAGAGTTGGTGGGGAGTTTCCATTCAGAGAGTAAAGTGAGGTGTTGAAGGAAGCGGTCATGGTCTAATTTGAGGTACTATATTGGGGTTTTCCTGGAAGGGTAGATAAAACTCATGAAAATTCTGAGGCCAGTATTTGAACCCAGGTTTTCAGAATACCAAGCAAGACACTTTTTTGGGCACTGATATAAAGAAAACCACATGAGAAGAAAGTATAGTTGTAGGCACTCTTGAGACCGTTCACAGTGGTATACTGTCTATATGGGTGGTGAAATATACACGTGGCTACTACTGATTCTGTTTTTAGGAGGTAACCTTCATAGATCCAGTCCACCAAGGAACATTGTAGGTAAAACATAAGGTAAAGACCTATGGAGGAGTGGAGGTATAGCTCCACTATTCTTGACTTCAGCACTAGATGGAGCTGAGTGGTTAGCTTCACGCCTCAGCCGCTTTATCCCAGAGGAAAGAGCTGCGGTGCTCACTGGATGGGAGGCTAGGTGGGCCCCAGAGCCGGTCTTGACATTGCAGAGTAGAGAAAAATCTTGCCCTTGCTGGGAATCGAACCCCAGCTGTCCATCCCGTCCTGTACCAACTCGAGGCTCAGAATTGTACATGTAACTTAAACTCGGTGCATACTGTCTTCTGAAATATGACACCAAGTAACCTGGCAGATTTACTGATGNTTGCAGAGTAGAGAAAAATCTTGCCCTTGCTGGGAATCGAACCCCATTTTGTGCCTTTGTGAAGGCACAAAATGCCTCTGTCTTCAGGGTCGAAAAATAGTTCAAGCAACAGCAATCAGTCTTTTATTGCTGAGAGTTCAGATATATATGAGAATTATCATATACAGTGAGTGGAGGATAGAATTTTCAGGGAAGTGGTTGTGGCCTATTTTTAATTTACCATTTGCCAGAAGAGGCTATGAAAAATGTTGAAAATCTGCAGACAAGATAGCCGACCCTTCAACTGACATTCAAATCAGGAACTTCCCAGTTAAAAGAGGGCATACATAACAAAACGAACTATCTGTTGCCATTTGTATACCCTTATGTAGCTGGTTAAGGTACTATGCTACAAGGTCGCGGGATCGAATCCCGATGAGGTCACTGGATTTTTTCCAATTTACCTAATCATTCCAGCCGCACTACGGCCCTGGCGTCGACTCAGCCTCTAACTGAAATGAGCACCAGGAATATTCTTGGGGGTAAAGAGCGGCCGGCGCGTAGGGCTGACAACCTTACCGCCATCTATGAGCCGATTGGCTATAAAATGTGGGAACCTCAACATCTCACAACCCTTAAGGCCTCCACGGCCTGTTACAGGGATACCTTTACTCTACTTTTACATCGTGGTTTAGTCATTGTGGATAGTGTGGGAAAGAAAAGAGCCCGATATTTTCCTCCCACTCCGTCCATCTTTCAGTAATTATTTACATCCCGAGACGGAGGTACCAGATTCGTCCGAATCGTTGGTTATACCTATGTGTCAGAATAATACATGGCATCACATCTTAACACATCGATGCCAATCTGGCTAGATGTCGCTAAGTAACTTAACTCCGGGCACTGTGTTTATACTGACCTGCCTGTTGGGTTGTGCTGTAGCTATGATCGTCTCGTCTGCGCTGCTTACCGCGCGTTCAATCAGATCGAAGTCATCAATCTTTTGTAATGACCGCTTTCTCTCAGCAGTCACTACGTACTGGTTCCCTGCATGGTAATGTAAGTAATTGTTACAGAAGATGGTTGTCGTGTTGCCACTGTTCTCTGTTTCCCCGACGACCTCCATCGTTAAAACCCGGGCATGCAGTCAATTTTGAAACCGCATTGCCCACACGGGACAAAGCTGTGTGTTACGTCGGTATGGGTCGGTAGCGTCTGTAGTGTCCACCGTGTCCACCCTGCCGCCTTGCGAAAGACAAAACACCGGAACTAAATTTGCGCGCAGGCGCCGTTTGTGCAAGTCCCATCGCTTGGGTCGATACTGACCCGCAGGGCCCACGGGCCCAGGGGTTAGGGAGGTGTGCATTCGATCCACTGCAAATGGCGAACATAAAGTATTACTTGAGGGACGCGTTTCGGGTTTCTTGAAAACGGGTAGCCAGTCAGCAAGCTACAGAGTGGATTCCCGGGGAACCGGGATTAAGTTCCCGGCAGGGCATATATTTTTCTTTTTTCCACAGATTCCAGGCTGGTTCTAGCGCCCACCCAGCTTTCTATCCAATGGGCACAATGGCTCTCTCCCTATGGATGTGGCAACCGGAGCGTGAAGCTGATTATTCATCTCCCTCTAGTGTTGTGGTTAAGAATACTTGGAGATATTCCTCCACTTCCCATGCTCCTTCGTGGCATCGTGAGTCATTAAACACATTAAAAACTGTGCATTTTAGGGACACGTTTTAATTTCGTCTTCCCGTCGTCTGTTGGCGTCAGGTGAAATAAGGACTTATTATTTTAATAATAAAACGAGCCATCTAGAGATGTATCTTATTTGTAAAAATTCCCTTGCTTACAATTCTGTACTACTTACAACCCAGTGGTTAACATTAAAACGCTCTATATATTCTCCCACATGGTGTATTTATGTTTCTTACTGTTCTTAGAACTGTTCTTAGGTCATTTAACTACGCTTTTATTGTCGAGATCATACGGCTTTGGACGGTAGGATGGATGCTAATGAATTGGAAAAGGTTCGGAAGGAATCGCATCGTGGTCTAATCGAGGTGCTAACCCTGCATTTTCTCGTAAGGAGTCATGAAAGAACTTCACGTTAGCCGCTGCCCTGGCCGAAATTCAGACAGAGCCTCTCATGACTACAAAGTCTTAGGGGGTCCATACACGTACGAGTCCGGCTCGGCGAGCTTGACTCGGGACGGGCTCGGATTAATTTCACCACAAATGCATCAGCTGACTCCCAACTTTGCGACCTACACACGGACGAGTTTGGCTCATTGGAACCCGAGCCAAGTCTGACTCGCGAGCCAACCTCGTACGTGTATGGGCCCCTTTAGAACGTTACATCGATTATTCGTAGAATAAACAGCTGTTATTTCGCTGAACAGCATTGTCCAATTATTCTTTTTAACAGAGACCGTGTCTTCTGTGAGGCAGCAAATTAATTCTTAAGTATTATGTAGTTCGTCCAATTAGTAAGGTTTAATAGGTCATACAAATTAAATGAAAGGTGAAGAGCGCCATCTTCTGGGATGTCTGCTTGTCACCTGCATTCACGCTGTTATCTTGCCGTCAGAGCACAGGACGCACCCTCCGCCCACTTCCTGGAAATTTGCATGATCATAGCGGTCGGTTTCACCTGTGGAATTGTAACTTTTGACTTCCTTTGAGAGTATAAGTAGGGACCGGATTTGTATGCCCTAATAATCCCTTAAATATGTATACATTTATGTATGAAAAACTTCCGAAATATGCACTGAAATATAAAGTAAAAAAAAAAAAGTAAAGCTGACCCTGT